CAAGGATTCAGCATCCAAATACATTTGAGAAATAACCTGAGTGAGCATGTTATCAATCATGCAAATTATATTGTATTAACATCATTACATCATTTATATTTACTACAATTTCTCTAAGACGTGTCACGCCCTCTTGCTCTCTGTAGGTCAAGCTAGCATGACGCTGTACTCTTTACCCATGAAGTATGAAACCTGCCAGAGGCACTTAGCCAGCATGCTAACAGCAACTATGATTTATTCAGTGGCCCTGTTAACATTGCATACCAAGTCTCGTAAATCTTTCAGCCCAACTGCTCCCGCCATTTGTTCTCTCTGCAGTTTGTGTGTGACATGCCCACTCTGAATTGGCTACAGTAGGCAAGACAACAGAGAGCCACGCCTGAAGTCAAGGCGAACACCTACAGTCAGGGACTGAGTAACATCAGACTAAATGTTTTCATCCCAACAACTTTGGATTTGCTGGTAGTGTCTAATGTGTGAGATGAATACCATACATACGACTCTCACATTTCTTGAGTGTTGCAATTTACTGACATTACGTAGTAAGATACAGTAGGCTTAGAGTATGTACAGTGCCTTGCAAAAGTATTCATCCCCCTTGGCGTTTTTCCTATTTTGTTGCATTACAACCTGTAACTTAAATGGATTTTTATTTGGATTTCATGTAATGGACATACACAAGATAGTCCAAATTGGTGAAGGAGGGAGGTGAATAGTTACGCACGCTCACGTTCTGTTTTTTTGTCTTATTTCTTGTTTGTTTCACAATAAAACATATTTTCCATTTTCAAAGTAGTAGGCATGTTGTGTAAATCAAATGATACAAACCCCCAAAAAATCCATTTTAATTCCAGGTTGTAAGCAACAAAATAGGAAAAATGCCAAGGGGGGTGAATACTTTCGCAAGCCACTGTACAATCCATCTCTAACAAAACTGTAAACTAGTACAAAGTTAATACATGTCAAATGCCAAATAAATAAGTCAAATGTTGAAGAGTGGACCATAAATTATAAAATCACACTCCTTCAAGTACATTATACAGTATATTCACTCAATAATTTGCATTAAATATGACACTGTCAAAACATGTTGATGATGTTGAGTGACAAGTAAATGTGATGATCATTTAGCGCAGGCGAATCATTACTACTGGTTCTGTAATGTACTTCTTCAGGGTAGGTGTAATGTAGTGGCATGTCTCTTCAAATATACCTTCAAGATTCTTTTAACATTTACCTTAAAATGGATACTCATCCATATAAATGCATTGCATGGACACCTAGAAAGTAGTTTACAGTATATAGACCCAGAGAGGGAACCAGGCACTAATCACAACTCTATTGAGTCCTTTTCCGTATGTCAACCTGTGGAAAGTAGCCTATGGAAATGCAGGCTTAAATCTCTGCAGTAGTAAGAGTGTAGTAGTAAGAGTCATTAAAAGTTGGCTCCATTGTGTGTTAGTCGTGTTAGCCTGGGTAAGCTTAATTACTTAGGGAGTCTCAAACTGACAGCTAATGCCAGGCAAGCAAAGCCCCTTTGCTTCAGACAAGGTCCCTGTGCTGCGGGGGAAGCAGTTTCAAAGTCAATAGCAGTGCTGTCATTATCAATGGGCTCCTGATTATGAAGGCAAGACAACAAGAGCAGTATCCTTCTGAAGCCAAGGCTGGCTAACATTAGTCTGGGTCATAGTCAGAAGAGCTGGACCAGGTACAAAGGAAAGTACTTTCAATTTATCAAATATTCATAAGAGAGATCCGTATCAATCCCCAAGTGACAAGTCTTTGAAATGTCGTTTTTATGACATCGGAGGGTAACATTTCTTCCAAAAATAAGATGACCAGTCAGAGATAGGATGGACAAAACAAAAAAATACAAGGACATAGATACAGCATATATACGGTTGAAAGTATGATAATTCATTATATTGTACATAATGTTTCCTTATATCTGTACTCTTCCCTTCTACTTCTGAGCTAAATCAGCTCATTTCAAATGCACACAGCTCCTTTGAGAAGGAAGTACAGTATGCTGAAACACTTTCTCTAAAGTAGGCATGTCTGATTTCATGCTTGAATTGTCCTTTGAAAAACTAAAAAGTACTGTGTAGTAATTTTCAGAGAGGAAAATACAACTATTAAATGAACAGCCCATGAATAATACAAGTGAACTGCTCTGAGATGAGAATTAAGCCAATTACCCAGGAAACTGTTAACATGAGACAGCGAGTGCTTTATTGTGTAGACTCCAAGATATCAATGTAAGTGTTCTAAAAATCATTGTCTCTTGACTGTCGAGATATTCCGTTTATTTAAATTATTCTGAGAACCAATGAGGTATAAAATGGAAGGTGAATGTCTGTCTGTAGTTTGTGATGCACTTTGTTTTTGGGGGAAAGTAGGGCAAGATAAACTGCAGGCTTTACTCAGCTGCTAATCTCCACCCCCTCAATCCCAACACATACACACACATGCACGCACACACGTTGTGTCTCCACAACGATTGTCTCCTCACACCATCGGTAAATATGTATAGTTTCTGACCCTCATCTGAAAGCAGAAATTCCATATTAAACATTTCTTATGTGCGCTCAACCCGCTTTTCACACGGATTCATTATTAAACTCTCAAATATGTTACTTAGTACATAATACTAAGTGCTAAGGTGAATTGTGGTCCTCTGTAGCTCAGCTGGTAGAGCACGGCGCTTGTAACGCCAAGGTAGTGGGTTCGATCCCCGGGACCACCCATACACAAAAATGTATGCACGCATGACTAAGTCGCTTTGGATAAAAGCGTCTGCTAAATGGCATATTATATTATTATTATAATAATACACCTCTTGGTATATGAAAGAACGTATGGAGTTAACATCAAATGACCAGCTACACAAAATAATGGATGTTGTGAAAGACAGAGGGAGACTTGTGAGTTGAACAGCAGTGTTGCTAGGCGATGGCGCAGCGGAGAGGGAAAGGGGGCTGGAGGAGAGGGTGGGATGAGGGAGAGAGCTACTTCCTGATTCTATGACTCATCAGCAGTTCATTGTGACGGTGTGTGTGTGTCAGCCATCATGCTGTGTTTGGCCAGGTAGACTACAGTACATCTGGCCTGTGATGGCTGCCAGTGGCCAACTGACCCTGGCTGTGTTGATTCTCCCTGGTGGTGGTGGATGGGGTTTCCCATCTGTTCTTGTAACCAGGTCCAAAACTGTACTGTCTGAGGTTTTCAGAAATAGTCCACAACATTAACAGTATCTGATTATTCTCTTGGAACAACCCTTACAGTACAAACCAATAATGGATTTCAGTAACATTCCAGGCATCAAAGAGGATGAAAGATACATGTATTTCTGGATATTTAATGATGATGCTATACATTGTATTGTTGTGTATAATTAAGCCTAATCTTAAGAGCATAACTCTCAAAATAATGAACACAATAATTACTTTAATCTCAACATCATTCTATTTCGGATTAAATATTTTAATAAAACGATAAGCCTCAGTACATTAGCACAGCCATAATATATTTGGGATCAATATCCCTGCTCAATAATCATGCTTTAGAATTTCGTTTTACAATCTGTGGATATGGCTTGTTGCTATGATATGACCAGCAGTAAAGGCCATTTGGTTTGTGTTAAGCGCCCCCCAGCGTTGAAGAAGAGTCAAGACACCCAGAATAGCATCATAACAAATACACTGCCAAGAAAATACTCTTATTGAAAAGCCACTCTACAAGACATCTTTCTTGGCAAGAGCTCTCAAATTGACACTATCACTAAATACATAAATAAGGCTTTAGTAGTATGCCAATTTGTTGTTTATTACTTATGATTTGATGATGCACTGTCCATCTAGTTAGGCTGATCATTTCTTTCACGTATTTTATAGTGTGATGTCACACTTTATGCATGTTTCTGCATATGTACCAAGATGTTCAAATAAACCTAACATCAATTTGACAAGCTTAGCATAATTTAGTGAGGACACAACCTCCAGTGAAGTACAGTAAAGTATTAAGGATCCAATAAAATATCATTAGTAGCATGCAAGTTAAACATTTTCTCCAAGTAGAAGATTTAATAAAGTCAAGGAAAAACACATTCAGATGGTCAGTCTTAAGCTGACCTGATGACAAAGGCTTGCTTCTATGTGTTGACAGCTAGTCCTATACTGTTATAAATTGTCTTCGAATACCAACTAAAAATAACGAGGCAACTCTTTCCTTGACAGGATGGTGGGTGTCTGATACAAACCACACACTGAAGAAGAGCACAATGCATACACTGACAGTTTCCTGTGTGCCTTCACACAGCACCGAGCAGCGCCCACTAAACTACCCAGAGCTAACGAAGATATTTTCCAACCCCTGTGATGACGACAGCTCATATATGAAGGGGGAAAAACAGACAATGTGTTTGATTAGTGTTCACGTGAAGTAGCCTACTGTGTTACAATTTGTTGACTTTTTTTAAAGAGTGTTCTTCAGAAACTTTGTAAGTACTTTTTTCTTTAAACATACTATCTTTTACCAACACAGTTTACATTATTTGGTCATAGTTAAAAGAATTGTAGCCTATAGTCACAGAACAGTCATGGAGTTCATAAGCGGAAAAACATCTTGATCATTTCAATTCACTGACCAATTAAATTACCAATTCAATGAATTAATTCAATTACCATAATTGCATTTAGATAAATAAAGTGAATTCAAACAGCAATTATTTTTTATTATATTTTTTACAATGGAAGCCTCAACAATTCTGATTATATTGGCAAATTACTGCATGTGTCAAGCAAGCAGAGGATAGGATATGATAAAAGCTTGTCTGTAAAACAGCAACAGTGATATCGCATCTTTTACAGAACAGTCTGATAATATCTGACAGAACACTTTCCCCACAGGTTGCATCATTAGCAAGGGAAAGCATAAATCTATTATCCCACTGGTTCTGTCACCTACACGCTCCTTTTGATAATCAAACCAGACCTGAAACGATGAATACATCTGTTGGCGATATAACTGACAACTGTAGTACCCCAAGAGACTACCAGTTCTACCTCTTCCCAGCAGTCTACAGTCTGGTGATGGCAGTGGGCCTGCCAGGCAACGTGGGAGCCCTCTACGTGTTCATCTTCAAGACAACTCCCCGCACATCCTCTAACGTGTACGTCATTAACCTGGCAATCGCCGACACCACCTTCCTCTGCACCCTGCCCTTCAAAATCCACTACCACCGCAACAGCAACGACTGGGTATTCGGAGACGTGGCCTGCCGCATCACAGGAACACTGTTCTTCGCCAACATCTACATCAGCATCGCCTTCATGACCTGTATCTGTGTGGATCGATATGTGGCCGTCGCCTATCCTCACACTTATCTGAGGCTCCGGAACTCGCGTTGCACTGTACTGGTGAGTGTGGCAGTGTGGGTGGTGGGGGTGGCGGCTGTTCTGGCCTTCATCCTAGTGGGACCTCTGGAAAGCCAGCACCGTAGCTGCTTCGAGAACTTCTCCCGGCACGAGTGGGACAGGCGTCTGCTGCCGTATAGCTTATTCAGTCTCGTCGTCAGCTCGCTACTGCCCTCTGTGGTCATCCTGGTGTGTTACCCTCTGGTGGCGCGGCGCATCGCTCTCATCCGGACCAACACAGCCCGCGGAGCCCTGAGGGTCATCTACACCATCCTGGTTATCACCCTGATCTGCTTCCTGCCCTACCATGTGGTTCACTTCCTGCATCTGCTCCGCCGTCTAGGGGTCATCCAGCACTGTCCCTATGCAAACGCCATCTACAATGCCCGGCGGGTGACCCTGGCCCTCGTCAGCCTCAATAGCTGTCTGGATCCCCTGCTCTACTACTTCACCACCAGTCACTGTAAGTGGAGTCCCTCAAAGGCCAGGTTCAGATGGCTGTGGGCTAGGAGGACCATGGGAGTCTACACCATCAACGTGAGACCGTGAGGCTTTTGCTTAAGCGTGCTCTGACTGCTGATGAAACAAACTCTGAAGGCTCGTGGTGAAGCATTGTTTTCCTTATAGTGTACTGTAAACCACCAATTATATTGCATATATTTACACCATGTAAATATTGCGTTTACATATTCCCTTATGTTCATCACTTTAAAGGCCCAGTGCACTTAAAAACACGTGCTTTTCCTGTGATATATATATATACAGTGGGGAAAAAAGTATTTGATCCCCTGCTGATTTTGTATGTTTGCCCACTGACAAAGAAATTATCAGTTTATAATTTTAATGGTAGGTTTATTCTGTCTCTCACTGTTCAAATAACAAAAAATCCAGAAAAACGCATGTCAAAAATGTTATAAATTGATTTGCATTTTAATGAGAGAAATAAGTATTTGACCCCCTCTCAATCAGAAAGATTTCTGGCTCCCAGGTGTCTTTTATACAGGTAACGAACTGAGATTAGGAGCACACTCTTAAAGGGAGTGCTCCTAATCTCAGTTTGTTACCTGTATAAAAGACACCTGTCCACAGAAGCAATCAATCAATCAGATTCCAAACTCTCCACCATGGCCAAGACCAAAGAGCTCTCCAAGGATGTCAGGGACAAGATTGTAGACCTACACAAGGCTGGAATGGGCTACAAGACCATCGTCAAGCAGCTTGGTGAGAAGGTGACAACAGTTGGTGTGTTGAACATCTGAATGATTCAGAGGAGAACTGGGTGAAAGTGTTGTGGTCAGATGAGCTCTTTGGCATCAACTCAACTCGCCGTGTTTGGAGGAGGAGGAATGCTGCCTATGACCCCAAGAACACCATCCCCACCGTCAAACATGGAGGTGGAAACATTATACTTTGGGGGTGTTTTTCTGCTAAGGGGACAGGACAACTTCACCGCATCAAAGGGACGATGGACGGGGCCGTCAAATCTTGGGTGAGAACCTCCTTCCCTCAGCCAGGGCATTGAAAATGGGTCGTGGATGGGTATTTCAGCATGACAATGACCCAAAACACACGGCCAAGGCAACAAAGGAGTGGCTCAAGAAGAAGCACATTAAGGTCCTGGAGTGGCCTAGCCAGTCTCCAGACCTTAATCCCATAGAAAATCTGTGGAGGGAGCTGAAGGTTCAAGTTGCCAAACATCAGGCTCGAAACCTTAATGACTTGGAGAAGATCTGCAAAGACGAGCGGGACAAAATCCCTCCTGAGATGTGTGCAAACCTGGTGGCCAACTACAAGAAACATCTGACCTCTGTTATTGTCAACAAGGGTTTTGCCACCAAGTACTAAGTCATGTTTTGCAGAGGGGTCAAATACTTATTTCCCTCATTAAATTGCAAATCAATTTATAACATTTTTGACATGCGTTTTTTTTCTGGATTTTTGTTGTTGTTATTCTGTCTCTCACTGTTCAAATAAACCTACCATTAAAATTATAGACTGATCATGTCTTTGTCAGTGGGCAAACGTACAAAATCAGCAGGGGATCAAATACTTTTTTCCCCTTACTGTGTATAAATATAGCTATAGCTATATATATATATATATATATATATATATATATATATATATATATATCCGCACTATGAGGTTAGAATAATACTGTGAAATTGTGAAAATATTGATGCCGCTTTAGTGTAAGAGCTGTTTGAATAGACCACCTGAAATTTCAGCCTGTTTTAGTGGGATGGAGTTTTGGCCTGCCTGGTGACATCACAAGCTAATAGACTAATATGAGAGTTCTAAACCTCTCTGCCAATAACCGCTAGTTTTCAGATGTTCCTTCACCCACTCAGACAGTCCTAGCAAAATAATTGCTTGAAAAATTGCTCTTTGCTAAGAAGCTATTTTTGTTTCTTTTCGACCATTTTAATTGAAAACAAAATCACAGGAAGGTCATTCATTATTACCCAGAAATTATTTTGATATCGAGATAAAAACAGCTACATTGGACCTTTAAGAACTCACATAATGACAATGCAATTACTTGATTGTTGAGTATTAACAATGTAGTGACTTGGATTATATCAATATAAATAGAGTTCTGTGACACTTATTTCTTATAAAAAGATGCATTCAAATCAGCTTTGTACAACATCGAGACTAACCTTTACAGTAAGCTACACTTAACATTGGGATGATTTACATTTTAGTCATTTAGCAGACACCCGTATCCAGAGCGGTTAAGTGCCTTGCTCAAGGGCACAAAGATTTTTCACCTACTCGGCTCAAGGATTCAAACCAGTGACCTTTCGATTACTGGCCCAACGCTCAGCTACCTGCCACCGATATGAACTGTCACATTGAAGACAGTCCTGATGGAAGTCCTTTCTTCAGCAGAGTAGACAGAAAGCTCCCCAGATCTTCATCCTACAAATAACAAGGCCGACATCATTTGTATTGAAATAAACATCGGCTAAATGGATGGTGCAATTTGACTCAAGTAAATCTACAGGGGTATCTATAGGGTGTGTTTATTTTGATCAAATCATTGACGTTTTAGATATTGTTGATATCTAAAAAGGTGTAGAGATTTGAGAAAGAACATGGCTTGTGGTCGCTACATGCTCCTCTAATTAGACTTACTTGACTCCATCGCTAGCTGGTGGTTTTCGTTACCTATTTTTTATTTTTAGTCATTTAGCAGACGCTCTTATCCAGAGCGACTTACAGGAGCAATTAGGGTTAAGTGCCTTGCTCAAGGGCACATAGACCGATTTTTCACCTAGTCGGCTCGGTTACTGGCACAACGCTCTTAACCACTAAGCTACCTGCCGCCCCGATATGGTGACTGTGACTCGTGCCACACAGTATAGAAACACATCCACAGGCCCTCCAAGGTTATGGGCTGCACAATACATTGCACCCTAATGTGTATAGTGTTACATACTGTAGTTCAGATCGGACCGTAAAGTCACTCCACAGCTTGAAATGCCTCCACTCATCGCTGAATTGCTAGCTATTCAGTGGCACAACTGGCTAGTACGTTGTCGAACGGTCAGTCACGTGTGTTTTCGAGGCAGAGGACCCTAGTTCGAGCCGTTGTACGGACAGTGAACCCAGACAGGGAGGACGCTATACTGCTAAGCAGACACACGGTGGTCCATCACAATAGCTCATACTCATTTTCAACAGCCATCCTCCTTACCTGGTAGCTCCAGGAGAGCAGCAGCACCTTGGTGTTGGGCTCTTCAGCTGAGGAGGACACCTTGATCACAATGGACTCCACCATGACGGTCCCATCTGGGAGGTGCTGGATGGTATAACCTTTCAGCACACTAGAACAGAGACAACACAGAGAGAGAGGAGAAATAATCATTCATATTATTATATGAAGGTGTGTTAGTGGATCAGACCTGAGTACTGACTGTACCCTCTTTTTGTGAATAAAAATGTTATGTTGTGGCAGAAGACAAAACAAACTATGTGCCTTTTATGCCCAAGCTTTGACCAAATAAGAACTTGAAAACAAACACAATAAAAATGGTCAACTCGGTCTTACTGTACCTCTTGAGGTGTGTGTAGATTCTGCTAAGAGTGTCAGGGTCACTGTGTGGGTCCTGGAGCTGTACTCGGCAGGTGAAGCGGAGCTGGTGCTCGTTGAGGCCCAACTCCTTGAGTGCCTGCTCTGGAGAGACAAGCCGAAGACTCTACACCCAGGGGGAACACAGGGGGGAGGGGAGAGAGGGGAACACAGGATGGAAGAGAGAGGGGAACGAGAGGGGAACACGGGGGGGGGGGGGGGGGAGAGAGGGGAACACGGGGGGGAGAGAGAGGGGAACACGGGGGGGGAGAGAGAGGGGAACACAGGGCAACAAGAGGTCACTCACAAGGCAAGGCAGAGAATAAAACACCTTGAATTATTAACATATCTGAATTAGCTAGGCAAGGCCATAGTAAAGTTTTCTATCATAAACAATAGAGAAATCAGTGTATGAACGGCAGTTGGTGGAATTCAGAACTTACATTATCCTTCATGATCAGGGTCCCGTGCATGGTACGAGGCTTCTTCGGGTCAGGTAAGGGGCCTGTGGAGCGTAGCAGTCAAACAGTGAATAACACACACACATCAACTGGGAGAGTGAGATAGATTGAGATTGACTAAAATGTACTGAACAATACCTCCAAGGGCCATCTCCCTCTTGAGCAGGTTGAGTGAGATGTCCACTGGGACACTGGGGTTGGTGATCACAGTGGTCGTCTCACCGTTGGCTGGCATGAAGCAGTTGATGGCTGTCATTCGCAAAGAAAGACGAATGAGGCATAATACCAGAGCTGTGTTCAGTAGGGTGAAAATGTTTTTAAATGGCGTGAAAACGAGGGAGGTTGAACATGAACTTGTCCAATAAGAAGACAGATTTTTTGTTTTCTGTTGCAAAACATTTTGCTACACTGTGCCCTACTGAACACTACCCAGTGCTCCTGACAAGATCCTCAAACATATGTGGCACATACTGCAAATCTACACTGAACAAAAATATATAACGCAACATGTTAAGTGTTGGTCCCATGTTTCATGAGCTGAAATAAAAGATCACAGAAATGTTCCATATTCACAAAAAGCTTATTTCTTTCCAATTTTGTGCACAAATTTGTTTACATTCCTGTTAGTGAGCATTTCTCCTTTGCCAATATAATCCATCCACCTGACAGGTGTGGCATATCAAGAAGCTGATTAACAGCATGATCATTACACAGGTGCAACTTGTGCTGGGGATAATAAAATGGCACTAAAATGTGCAGTTTTGTCACATAACACAATGCCACAGATGTTTCAAGTTGAGGGAGCGTGCAATTGGCATGCTGACTGCAGGAATTTCCAACAGAGCTGTTACCAGAGAACTGAATGTTAATTTCTCTACCATATGCCACCTCCAACATTGTTTTAGAAAATGTGGCAGTACATCCAACCGGCCTCACAACCGCAGACCACGTGTAACCACGCCAGCCCAGGACCTCCACATCCGGATTATTCACCTGCGGGGGTGCTGAGGAATATTTATGTCTGCAATAAAGCCCTTTTGTGGGTTAAAACTCATTCTGATTGGCTGGGCCTGGCTCCCCAGTGGGTGGGCCTATGCCCTCCCAGGCCAACCCATGGCTGCGCCCATTGCCCAGTCATGTGAAATCCATAAATTAGGGCCTAATGAATTTCCTTCTATGAACTGTAACTCAGTCAAATATTGGAAATTGTTGCATGTTGTGTTTATATTTTTTTCAGTATACAATATATCCTTCTCTCTGAAGCCCTAACATTCTTGAAGCAGATAGTATTACAAGGACATCCAGGTGTCACTCACTGAACTCCTGCTCGATCTTGTCCTTGAGGAACTCCATCTTCTTGGCCTCTCCGTGCACCAGCAGCATGTTGCGAGGCTCTGCCATGCGGATGAGCTGCATGATGCCCTTAGCGTCTGCATGGGCGCTGAACGACATGTACTCCACCTGCAGCTTCACCTCCAACTGCAGGGGTCACAGAGGGCAAAGGTCAAGGGTCAGCAGACAAACCTCAACAGGCTGGCTCACTGCTCTTAATTTCAGTTTATCCATTTGATATCTATTACTGCAGTAAAATCATGATTATACATCAAGTTAAATACAATCAAATACTATCTTGCATTACCGTTTGTCTATTCTCCATCTCCAGTTTCTTTTGACCATTCAGGATCTTGTGTCCGATGGTGCCTTGCACACAATACCCAGGCATGATGATCTGATTAACAGAAAATGAAAAGTAGAATTGATTTTCTCCCCAACTTCACAAAAACCCATGTATTTACTTCCGCTCCGTAACTGACATATCTCAAATGGGACTTACCATATTCTTCTCGTTGCCAGCCCACTTCTTGAATATCTGTAGAGACTGACCAGCATGCAGCATTCCTGGGGTGGCAAACACCACCTGAAGGGAACACATAACATTTCAGTAGTGTTATTTCAACAATGTCCTTCATAAAAACTATACAAATTAAGAAAGTCGCACGCGCTACACTGAGTGTACAAGAAATTAGGAACACTTTCCTAATATTGAGTTGCACCCCCTTTTGCTTTTCGTCGGGGCATGGGACTCTACAAGGTGTCGAAAGCGTTCCCCAGGGATGCTGGCCCCATGTCGACTCCAATGCTTCCCACAGTTGTGTCAAGTTGGCTGGATGTCCTTTGGGTGGTGGACCATTCTTGATACACATGGGAAACTGTTGAGCGTGAAAAACACAGCAGCGTTGCAGTTCTTGACACACTCAAACCGGTGCGCCTGGCACCTACTACCATACCCCATTCAAAGGCACTTTAATCTTTTGTCTTTCCCATTCACCCTCTGAATGGCACACACACAATTCATGTCTCAATTGTCTCAAAAAATTATTTAACCTGTCTTCTTCCCTTCATCTACACTGATTGAAGTGGATTTAACAGGTGACATCAATAAGGGATCATAGCTTTCACCTGGATACACCTGGTCAGTCTGTCATGGAAAGAGCAGGTGTTCCTAATGTTTTGTGCACTCAGTGTATATGCTCCCAACAATTTAATTGTTTGGAGAATATAGTGTGCTCTTGATTTTTATGTAGTTTACTCTCCGTTAGTCAGCACCTTTACAAACATTTTTGGGTGTGCGTCAGCTCATGCTTTTTAACTTTTTAGACAACGGGTCCACAGTGACTATGTAGAAAATTCACCGGGGTAAGAAGAATAGTATCTATAATGGACAAATCATTGGACTTGTCTGTATCTAAAGCATATCAATGCCTAAACATTCATTAAAATGTTGCAACTGTAAACAAGGTTATAGTATTAGCATGCAAATATGATGGTGATGTTTCTCCACCATTGGTCCAGGGTTGTCTGCGTAGGAGCGATCAAAGGCCTTGATGTGTTTGAACTCAAACATGTTTCTCTGTACAAAGGTTTTCCTGATTTTCTGATTGGTCCAGGTGATGAAGAGTTTGTAGTAGTGATTCGCTTTCTCTGTGAGCCCTGTGGAGAAGTAGATGGGGGCCTTCATGTTCATCCGCTCCCTGTGGAAGGAGAGGAGAGGCTTTTACATCATTCCCTGATTGCTTACCCAGTCATCAAGACACAAAATGAACGTCATCTTAACAAAAGAACACTAGCTAGACCAATGCTAATTGAACTTGGAATCGAAAAACCTTACCAGAATGTTTCCAATAGAATGCACAGTTCCTGAGCTCTACCCAGGGCAAAGACCGGAATCAGAACCTGAGAGCACAACATTTAATCCATTAGGACACGAGTACTGGAGAGACCGAATGAGCTATATGGACAGAAAAAACCTGTGTGGTGGCCCTTACCTTCCCTCCTCTCTCCACTGTCTCGTGTACTTTCTTCAGGAAGTCCCTCTCCCTGCACCTCTTGGAGTCACGGATGGTGGTGGCGTAGGTGGACTCTGAGATGAGGATGTCTGGCCGACACTTATCGATCCACGCAGCCCTATGACAACAAAATGAAAATGGTTTATTATAGAACACATAGGCATTGATCTAAATCATGTTACATGAAACACAAAATAAATCACTACTTACCCTAAATGTCTGTCTGGCGTCATGTTATAGTCACCCTGCAAAAGCCAGTAAGGATAAGTTACTTCAAAGAAATCACATGATTCATGCATTGATCAATAATAAGCCCAGTTCTCTTAATAGGCTAATACTCACAGTGTAGACCACTGACTCTGATCCTACTTTGATCTGCACCATAGCAGCTCCCAGGACATGGCCTGCATAGTAAGCTTTGATCTCCAGCTCATCGTCCACCTTAGAAACCATGACAGAATCAACTCAATACATCATTCCATACACCAATACTACCTCCAAATGTGGTTCCTCGGCCATCACGGAGAACGTAATGCATTATATGTTATACCCTTGGAGTAGCCTGGTTCCAGGTCTGTTTGTTCTGTCTTGCCAACTGCTATGATCATTGTCATACCAAACAATGACCATGGGAGTTGGCAAGACTGCACAAATAGATATGGAACAAGGCTACACTTGGAGTACTTCTAAGACCTGTTAAAAGGTACATATCAGGACTGTATACCTGGACAGTCTGGTGGAGGTTCAAAGGGACTACTTTCTTCATGCAGTCCTTGATCATCTGGGATGTGAAGAAGTTGGTTTCGCCCTTCTTGTCCACAGTGATCTTCCTGAAGTCCTCCAGCAGGATGGGGCAGATGGCCTTGGTGGGGTGGGTCATGTAGATGGGGCCATCATAGCCCACCATCTCACTCATGTACGGCAGAGCACCACAGTGGTCCAAGTGGAAATGACTAGGAGATTTAGTGTGAGTAATCAGTTAAAATATAGAAGATAAAAGACAGAATGCCTTTTAGCGGGAGAAAGCTCTTTCTCTTTGTGTTGAGTCTGATAAGGTTGTTTCTCTTGCTGAAGAGTAGCACCTAGATATAGCTAAGTGCCATATAAAGACCACAAACCTGATAATTACACAGTCCAAGAATTCTGTCAGGCGTCCTTGTTGTGTTATGTAAGAGAAATCTGGGAATCTTCTCTGAAAAGACAACAATGTCACAATAATGGAACATCAAAAGGAACCTAAAGTGTATTTGAATGGCAGAATGGGACTGTCAAATTGAGATTCGTGGATCTACTGACATAGAATTACATATAGTTAGCACCCTGTGGATCTACTTACATCATCATTGAAGCCCATGTGCATCCCACAGTCAAGCATAATGTTTTTGCCCCCAATGGAGACAAGAATGCAGCTACGGCCAACATCTTGTCCAGCACCTGAGCGGGAACAAAAGGATGAGATACACAAATGAACATCTCATCCATGCTGACTTCACAACATGTCGCTTAGCTGACCTTCAAGCTTAGAAGTTCTTCATGTATAACAAGTGGCGCAGCGGCCTAAGGCACTGCATCTCAGTGCTTGAGGCGTCACTACAGACCCCCTGGTTCGATTCCAGGCTGTATCACAACCGGCCGTGATTGGGAGTCCCATAGGGCAACGCACAATTGGCCCAGCGTCGTCCGGGTTTTGCCGGTGTAGGCCGTCATTGTAAATAACAATTTGTTCTTAACTGACTTGCCTAGTTAAATAAAAAAATAAAAAATAAAAAAAGTCGTACCACCATAGATCTGCTCTAAGAGATGCATGCGCAACAAAGTGCTCAAAAGTAATATATTTCGTGTTTGGGAGAAATGTCAGCCTGTGCATGCAAAAATGTGATACTTACCCAGTGGTGTCACTTTTATCTCAGGCATCCTGGCTGGGTATTCAAACTAAATGTGGTCGATAAAGTAGCTACCTAGCTATCTAAAGTTAGCTAACTTTACTAGATAGTTCAAGTAGCTACTAGCTAGCTAGCTAGCTAGCTAGCTAGAAATTAAAGCCTAGACGTGCCAACTAGGTGACACTAGCGGCTAAATTGTGGTGGATAAAGCCTCCGTAAATTAAAAAAAAAAAAGATTTAGCTCGCTGGATAAATGGCTGCTAGAAGCTGTTTTGTTTTTGAACGATGGGATAGCAGTGTGTGTTTCTGCTAGTGCTACTAGTGACTGTTCTTCTACTGTCTTACAACGCACTTCACGCGCCATTATCGACTCTCTTTGGAACTGCAGTTCTCACGAGCTTCGGACCTGTACAGACATGCGCACCGTGGTTTGGTGTTTCTGGACGGGATTATCAGAATGCATAATTTTGTTAGAAGATTGTTATTATGATCGGTTATCAAATATGATCACAGGTTAAATAGAACCCAGTCAAGCATCTAACATCGCTACTGTCAATTATTGATCCTTTTTAGTCGTACTTCCGGTTAGCCATGGCTGTAGCGTTGGAGGATCTGAAATTCACTTTACAAGAGGTTCTTGACACTTTTAAGTCATGCCTCTCTGAACACAAAGAAGTATTCCTTGAACAATATGTAGCAGGGTGGCGTGGTCTCGTAAGGTAAGTTTAAATGCTACAGTAAACCTAGATGCTCAGGTAATTACTGGTAGCTGGTAAACTACCTGACCTCCAGGACATCTAACGTTACAGCACCCGGTGTCACAGCAATGCAAGAAGATCATCAAGGAGGACCTTGGCCACCCGAACCATGGCCTTTTCACCCCGCTACCATTTATAAGGCGGAGACAGTACAGGTGCATCAAAGCTGGGACCGAGAGACTGATAAACAGCTTCTATCTCCATGCCATCAGACTGTTAAACAGTCACCACTAGCCGGTCTGCGCCCAGTACCCTGCCCTGAACCTTAGACACTGTCACTAACCGCCTACCACCCGGTACTTTACCCTGCACCTAAGAGACTGCTGCTGCCCTATGTACCTAGAGTCATTGAACACTGCTCACTTTAGTAATGTTTACATGCTGTATTCTAGTCATGGCTCATCCTATATAACTACTGCTATACACACCTTTCTATTCACGTTTTGTCTATACTGTCTATTCACATACATATATATTTATAGTCCGGAAGCTAATTTCCTGCAATTCTATCAATTTTTCCATGGGGTTTTGTACTGTGTATTTAAATACTGTATTCTCGACATAGCTCATTCTAATATTTCTGATACTCTTGCATTTTAGTTACACTGTTTATACACACCACATATTTATTTATATACTGGATTCTTGACATAGCTCACTGCTGTACATATCATTCTTAGTATATATTGTGTAAATTAATCTGGTGTATATACTGTACGTATAGATTGCATTTGGATTACTGTTGTAGTGCTATTTGGGTTGTTAATTGGAGTCGTTCTGACATTTCTTGATTTCTTGTTTTTTTAGTTAGTTTTTTTCTTTTTTCTTTTTTACATTTTACTGCATCGCTAGGAGCTAGTAACATAAGCATTTTGCTGCACCTGCTATAACATCTGCTAAATTGTGTACGCGACCAATAAACTTTGATTTGAACACTTCCCGTTTCATTTATACAGTTTTTCACACTGTTTATTCATATAATCCTACTTTATTCTCACATAGCACATTGTAATATACTGTACTACTGTACATTGTATTTTTGTTACACTGTTTATACACACAAACTTTAATTTGATTTGGCCTTGGGCTAATGTAAACAAATCCTTGAGTTTGGCATAGTTGGCAAGCCATACTAATCAGTTTATGCACATAATCTAGTTAGGTATTCTTTAAAAAAAGTCATAGTTTAGCTCAATTTAAATTATTCTGGTTGTCTCAATATAAAGCTATTTAGCATAATGAAATATTTGAAGACTCTTGGGTTGGGTAGGCTTATATAAGAATGCATCATGGTAGTCCAATATAATGGCTTTTATGTGTCTGATTAAAATGTGCTGTTGTCCATTATTTCCAGATTCATGAACTGCCTGGGGAGTGTGTTTTCCTTCATCTCCAAGGATGCCGTCAACAAGAGCCTGGTCAACCATCTGAACGGTGAGAACGGGGCCCACTACGTCACCGTCCAGTCTATGGTCAAATATGAACTGGACAACCAACTGGTGGACCTGACCAAGAGAGGCAGTTTCCCAGAGTCCGGCTGCCGCACCCTCCTAAGGCTGCACCGTGCCCTACGCTGGCTGGAGCTCTTCCTGGAGAGGCTACGAACCAGCACTGAGGACAGCAAGACCACGGTCATGTGCTCTGAGGCCTATAATGAGTCCCTCTCCCAACACCATGCATGGATCATCCGCAAGGCTGCCGGCACAGCGTTCTGGGCTCTCCCAGGGCGTGCTACGTTCTTTGATGTGATGAATGTAGGGAGCCCAGAACAGGTGGTGGCCATTCTAGGGGATGCCCTGCCTCTCATCTCTGAGGTATACCAAGTGACAGAGGACCTCTATGCCCAGAACAACATACTGGAGTTGCCCTAGTAGGCTGGAAGTACTGTAGTAGTAGCCTGGTGGTCCCAGATCTGTTTGTGTCTTACCAACTCCAATGGAATTGTTCATAGGAGTTGGTAAGACTGCATAAACCGATCTGGGACCACCAAGCTACTGTAGGCCTAGTAGTCCAACCAGCACATTCATGCTGGCAAGCCATGCTGCTCCGGATCTTTTCTTGGTGACCATTTCTGGGGAGGGGATTATTACTGAATATAATATGTACATTACATTACATTATGATATAATAAGACAGCATTACCCATAGGTTTCTTTCTAAATGTAATTCTATGGCTTCCAGTGCTATTTTTGTTCAACACACATTTCTGCATTACATTTTCTCCTTAATGTGCATCATAGTTTGCATCATAGTTTTTATCTCTCAAAGTAGGTTTTGTATTGTGGGAACAGTATGATATATCATTGCAAATGCACTAGCAGATTTAAAGGTTGTCTGTCTTGTCAAATCTCAAGATATACATTTTATTGTTTTGAAATATAAACCTGTTATTTTACAGTTTAATTTTTTTTCTGTTGACTATGAATTAAGTAATACATTATACACTGTGACCTGATAGGCCTAAGCTATATTGTCTTTGTTCTATTTCTGCAACGATTTATGTATCTCTATCATTTTGTCGTGATGTTATATAACCTATGATTGAAGATGGAAATTAGTGTTAAATCTGGTGTAGTGTTTCAATTACAGTTCTTGCATAAACATCTCTGTCTGGACTGGAGGCAGTTGTGATAGAAATGGAATGGATGCTGCTGATGCTGCATGCTCCTTGTCTTGCACCAGGGGGCACCTGTTGATGTGCGAGCGTGCGAGGCGAGCAGCGTTGTCAAGGTAACGATAGCTGTGTTGATAACTTGAGTGACGCTCCCTGCTGAAAAAGCCTCAAAACTTCCCGCTGGAGTGTTGACAAACAAAAGCGAGACTGATCTATCAGCTAAAATGCCAGGTATGCTGCAGATATGTTTCCTATTATTCTTATCTTGCACTGTTATGTTATTCTAGAGGCAGGTATGTCCCCTCTTTGTCACCTACTTGGATCTGACAGCTTAGCTAGCTAGCTAACACTAGCCAATTTGCTAGCTACTGTAACTGGTCAACAAGGAAATCAAATGCAACAAATGTTCTGTCACAGGCATGTCAAGATGATTAGCTAGCTCAGCTTGCAAGCTGGCCAGTGCTCTCAAAAGTGGTTGCCAGTCTCCTCCTGAACAGCTACCGGGCATGAAGGCTTTTGCTCCAACCCTGATGAGCAGACGTAAAGTTAGCTAGCTAGCCATGTTTTTTTCACCAGTGATGGAACAAAAGCCGGCACACCCAGTGGCTCTCTGCAAGAATGCAATCACAGTGACTATGATGAGACAGAGAAATAATGTATCAGAATAACTATTCAATTTATATTCAGTTTTCTCTTGACTATCTCACATCTTTCAGAGTTGAGTCGCATCTAAACCATTCTACTGCTGTGGAGAAGAATGCATTTGACCAGGCCAAAGTCCTCGAAAGGGCGTAGTCGAGCCAGCCTGAGCCACACTCCAAACGTGGACGTGGCTGCCAGCTTCCACGACACACCACTGATCCCCAAGCCTCCTTCAATGGGCTACAACAGGTCAGACCGCTATCAATCCCTCCACAGGCAGAACAGCCAGCTGAGTGTGGACGAAGTCTCAGACTACCTAGATAATGTTCCTGAGGTACCTTCTCTTCCCTTCCCTTGGAACAAATACAAGCCCCTCCCCTCAATTGAGAAGAAGGCATCAGAGGAGGGTGTCTCTTTGAGGAGCATGGAGGAGAAGACATCCAAGCTCAGTCTATCCGACAACCAGCTGTCCTCAGTGAGGACCCGAGCAGCATCCCAGAGCAACCTGGAGATAGGCAGCGTGTCAGAGGTACTTTGCAAGGTCTGCACCACCCCCAACCCTCTGGACCTCAGTGTGATGGCCACAACCCCAGAGACCAAAAGCCCACCAGTATTCCCCCCTGGCACTCCCGATCCCAGGAGTTTACTCCTTGCCATCCGAGCCCCGTGTGGGAGGAGGTTTGAGCACCACTTCCTACCCAAAGACACCCTGCTGATGGTGCTAGCCAGTGCAGAGGCCAGATATGGGACCAGATATGAGCATGGTTACATTGAGACCGTGGATGGTTACATTGAGACCGGTGTGGATAGACCCCTCCGCAGGACATTCACAGACCTGAACATGACTTTGGCCCAATGTGGCATCTTGAATAGATCAGTACTGTGCATCTTTCAGGAGGACATGGACTCTGCCTAAGCTCAGATGGATGACAGAATAACAAACGACATGAACGTTTTTATCTGACAAATATACACTGAGTATACAAATATTAGGAACACCTTCGAAAGCGTTCCACAGGGATACTGGCCTATGTTGACTCCAATTCTTCCCACAGTTTTCAAGTTGGCTGGATGACCTTTGGGTGGTGGGCCATTCTTGATACATACAGGAAACTGTTGAGTGTGAAAAACCCAGCAGCATTGCAGTTCTTGACACAAACCGGTGCGCCTGGCACCTACTACCATACCCCGTTCAAAGGCACTTACATTTTTTTGTCTTGCCCATTCACCCTCTGAATGGCACATAAGCAATCCATGTCTCAAGGCTTACAAATCTTTCGTTAACTTCTCCTTCCCTTCATCTACACTGATTGAAGTGGATTTAACAAGTGACATCAATAAGGGATCATAGCTTTCACCTGGCCAGTCATGGAAAGAGTAGGTGTTCTTAATGTTTTGTATACTATATATATATATATATATATATATATATATATATATACACACACACACACACACACAGTACCAGTCAAAAGTTTGGACACACCTGCTCATTCCAGGGTTTTTCTTTATTTTTACTATTTTCTATATTGTAGAATAATAGTGAAGACATCAAAACTATGAAATAACACATGGAATAATGTAGTAACCAAAAAAGTGTTAAACAAATCAAAATATATTTTATATTTGAGATTCTTCAAAGTAGCCACCCTTTGCCTTGATGGCAGCGTTGCACACTCTTGGCATTCTCTCAACCAGCTTCACCTGGAATGCTTTTCCAACAGTCTTGAAGGAGTTCCCACATATGCTGAGCACTTGTTGGCTGCTTTTCCTTCACTCTGCGGTCCAACTCATCCCAAACCATCTCAATTGGGTTGAGGTCGGGTGATTGTGGAGGCCATGTCATCTGATGCAGCACTCCATCACTCTCCTTCTTGGTCAAATAGCCCTTACACAGCCTGGAGGTGTGTTGGGTCATTGTCCTGTTGAAAAACAAATGATAATCCCACTAAGTGCAAACCAGATGGGATGGCGTATCACTGCAGAATGCTGTGGTAGCCATGCTGGTTAAATTCTAAATAAATCACTGACAGTGTCACCAGCAAAGCACCATCACATCTCCTCCTCCATGCTTCACGGTGGGAACCACACATGCAGAGATCATCCGTCTCACAAAGGCACAGCGGTTGGAACCAAAAATCTCACATTTGTACTCATCAGACCAAAGGACAGATTTCCACCAGTCTAATGTCCATTGCTCGTGTTTCTTGGCACAAGCAAGTCTCTTCTTATTGGTGTCCTTTAGTAGTGGTTTCTTTGCAGCAATTTGACCATGAAGACCTGATTCACGCAGTCTCCTCTGAATAGTTGATGTTGAGATGTGTCTGTTACTTGAACTCAGTGGGCTGCAATTTCTGAGGCTGTAACTCTAATGAACGTATCCTCTGCAGCAGAGGTAACTCTGGGTCTTCCATTCCTGTGGCGGTCCTCATGAGAGCCAGTTTCATCATAGCGCTTGATGTTTTTTTAGACTGCACTTGAATAAACTTTTTCGGATTGACTGACCTTTATGTCTTTAAGTAATGATGGACTGTCGTTTCTCTTTGCTTATTTGAGCTGTTCTTGCCATAATATGGACTTGGTCTTTTACCAAATAGGGCTATCTTCTGTATACCAACCCTACCTTGTCACAACACAACTGATTTGCTCAAACCCATTAAGGAAAGAAATTCCAATAATTAACTTTTAACAAGGCACACCTGTTAATTGAAATGCATTCCAGGTGACTACCCCATGAAGCTGGTTGAGAGAATGCCAAGCGTGTGCAAAGCTGTCATCAAGGCAAAGGGTGGCTTCTTTGAAGAATCTCAAATATAAAATATATTTTGATTTGTTTAACACTTTTTTGGATACTACATGTGTTATTTCATAGTTTTGATGTCTTCACTATTATTCTACAATGTAGAAACTAGTAAAAATAAAGAAAAACCCTTGAATGAGTAGGTGTATCAACTTTTGACTGGTACTGTATATATAAACATTAAAGCCTTATCTTTTTACTAGAAAATAGTGCTTGTTTCCATTGTTCAACAGCAATTTGTAAAGAACCTTTGGCTCGATCAAGTCTGGCAAGGTGTGTTTTGCATTTTCATTCAAGCATGTATATTTCAAAGGAAAACAAAGCAAACCTGAATAATGACAGACGTACTTTAGGTAGGTCATCTTTATTACAACAAAACCAAAAAGTGCAGACAGTATAAGAGAATAGATTCAGCACAGGCTATGTATTGCTTCCATAGCCAAGATAAACACTCTAAACACTTAACTAGTTTAGTTCAAGCACAGTCCAAATATAAATAACATTCACAAAGGTACAAAAGAAAACAATTCAATGGTGTTTTGCTCAATAAAGCTTTTTTCTCTCAAAATAAATATATTCCTAACAATTTAGGTACATTCCATACAATCTTATTTTACTTGGTAAAAGTGTCTAACTTCTGTCAGTTGACAGAATAAGCTTGCCAATAGTTTAAGGAAAATATGAACCAATTCTGACTCTAACCTTCATGCAAATGTCAAACTAATTGAATGTGACTGAACAAAACTTGTTTCCACTGAAACAACCTCCCATCAGAGATTTGCAGAGCCCTATTGGGAAAGCTAAAATACGAGATGGTGCAACCGCTCTAATACTCACAGTACTATTACAATGGAATCTTTGGATTACCGTGAAACACTCGCGTATCCAAACTATCAACAATGTATTTAGTGTTGCGATACTGAATGCTGCAAATCTCTCAAGTATTGTTAGTCTAGACTAGACTGATCATGAGTTGCCTTCTCATTAATAAGGAATGGACATCTCCCCAGTTTGGTTAGTACTTCTCATTTGCTCAACTTCAAATCACATTACCTTCCACGCTTATGATTCTATAAAAGAAGGGGTTTTAAGACCAATCAGCACAGCAAACTTCCCCCATTAGTCTAACTTTCGCAAAGTGTTCTGTTTGATTCAATAAACTGTATAATGCTGCAAACAACCAAATGGCCAATGCCTACACATTCCGCTGAGGAGAGCACCCGATCAAGAGGGTAAAATATGAGTTTAGTGTAACCACTCGATTAAAAATATAGCAAATGAAAACTAACTGTAATCCTAATAGTCTCAAAGAACAGAGTCTATGAAATCTAAAATGCTTCGCATATTATTTAGGCATGTAAACATTCAAATCAATCCTTAAAGTGACTTAAGTCCAAAAGCACAAATGTGACTCATTTCAGGAAACTAGGCGTATGTCGCGCGTCATTACTTCACAGGAGCGCCATTTTAACGTAAACTGTTCAGTTTTTTTTATCAGCATGCTTTTTTTTGGCAGAAATGCCTTCTGGAAACATGTGAACTTTAATTTGCCTTAATAACAAACTTGTATGCCATCTGTAATTACGAGCCTAGTTGGTTTAGCCACAGAAAAAGACAGGAACCTTCCCGCTAGCCATGATTGGCTGAGATAATGGATGGGCCGGACATGCCGAGAGATGAGTTCGGATTGGTCTGCCATGTAGCACGCTTCTGTCTATAACATGAGCTGGTCAGTATGTGTAGGTAATCCTAACACTGCTTTTTTGAAAGATATCACGTAGTAGAACTGCAAAGGTGTTGCTCTCCACTTTCTGGAGGACTGAGTTTTGAAATCAATAGAATGCACGGTGGAATTAGAGTATGATAGCTAATTCTGGTGTTTGATTGCAAATATGCAGACGGAGTCGAAAAGAGAACACACAGAAGGCTGTTGTACCTGTCTCCAGATTACATCTTCAAACTAAGGCAACCATGGCATCCGTGACCGAGAGGGAGAAGCGTCCATCCATGTATACGGGTAAGATAGTCTAGCTAGCTACATTTTCAGAAAATTACACATTTCTAATTTTGTCAGAAAGTCGTTTTCATTTGAAGTTAAAGCGTACTGTTCGCTAGCTAGCTACGTGTATGATCTGTGTAGTTATATTATTAATGTGAGGTAACAGTCCCACCTGCATAAATATTAGATGCATTAAATTATGATTTATAAAAGATAACAGCCTCTTCAGTTGCCGATTTTCTCGATTTCATCCAGATCGTCAGTGTCAAGTTTGTTTATCTTTTTATCTGTTGGGAAAAAAACAAGACGAAAGGTTAGGTTACTAAGGAGAACACTATTATATACAGTGGGGAGAACAAGTATTTGATACACTGCCGATTTTGCAGGTTTTCCTACTTACAAAGCATCTAGAGGTCTGTAATTTTTATCATAGGTACACTTCAACTGTGAGAGATGGAAAAAATCCAGAAAATCGCATGATATGATTTTTAAGTAATTAATTTGCATTTTATTGCATGACATAAGTATTTGATACATCAGAAAAGCAGAACTTAATATTTGGTACAGAAATCTTTGTTTGCAATTACAGAGATCATACGTTTCCTGTAGGTCTTGACCAGGTTTGCACATACTGCAGTAGGGATTTTGGCCCACTCCTCCATACAGACCTTCTTCAGGTTTCGGGGCTGTCGCTGGGCAATACGGACTTTCAGATCCCTCCAAAGATTTTCTATTGGGTTCAGGTCTGGAGACTGGCTAGGCCACTCCAGGACCATGAGATGCTTCTTACGGAGCCACTCCTTAGTTACCCTGGCTGTGTGTTTCGGGTCGTTGTCATGCTGGAAGACCCAGCTACGACCCATCTTCAATGCTGTTACTGAGGGAAGGAGGTTGTTGGCCAAGATCTCGCAATACATGGCCCCGTCCATCCTCCCCTCAATACGGTGCAGTCGTCCTGTCCCCTTTGCAGAAAAGCATTCCCAAAGAATGATGTTTCCACCTCCATGTTTCACGGTTGGGATGGTGTTCTTGGGGTTGTACTCATCCTTCTTCTTCCTCCAAACACGGCGAGTGGAGTTTAGACCAAAAAGCTATATTTTTTTCTTATCAGACCACATGACCTTCTCCCATTCCTCCACTGGATCATCCAGGTGGTCATTGGCAAACTTCAGACGGGCCTGGACATGCGCTGGCTTGAGCAGGGGGACCTTGCGTGCGCTGCAGGATTTTAATCCATGACGGCGTAGTGTGTTACTAATGGTTTTCTTTGAGACTGTGGTCCCAGCTCTCTTCAGGTCATTGACCAGGTCCTGCCGTGTAGTTCTGGGCTGATCCCTCACCTTCCTCATGATCATTGATGCCCCACGAGGTGAGATCTTGCATGGAGCCCCAGACCGAGGGTGATTGACCGTCATCTTGAACTTCTTCCATTTTCTAATAATTGCACCAACAGTTGTTGCCTTCTCACCAAGCTGCTTGCCTATTGTCCTGTAGCCCATCCCAGCCTTGTGCAGGTCTACAATTGTATCCCTGATGTCCTTACACAGCTCTCTGGTCTTGGCCATTGTGGGGAGAGGTTGGAGTCTGTTTGATTGAGTGTGTGGACAGGTGTCTTTTATACAGGTAACGAGTTCAAAGAGGTGCAGTTAATACAGGTAATGAGTGGAGAACAGGAGGGCTTCTTAAAGAAAAAGTAACAGGTCTGTGAGAGCCGGAATTCTTACTGGTTGGTAGGTGATCAAATACTTATGTCATGCAATAAAATGCAAATTAATTACTTAAAAATCATACAATGTGATTTTCTGGATTTTTTTAGATTCCGTCTCTCACAGTTGAAGTGTACATATGATAAAAATTACAGACCTCTACATGCTTTGTAAGTAGGAAAACATGCAAAATCGGCAGTGTATCAAATACTTGTTTTCCCCACTGTAGATCAATACGTACAATCTTGTATTTAATTGGTCTAGAGACAGAGCGACGTACTGAAATGCTCCTCGATTTGGTTGAGAATGTTCATGCTGTGTTTGCTGTCAATCATATTGACGGCAAGCCCCCTCTTGCCGAAACGTCCTGTGCGGCCAATCCGGTGAAGGTATGTCTCGTTGTCAGCGTTTCCGTCTTTGTCCATGGGCAGGTCAAAGTTGATCACCACGGAAACTTGCTCAACATCAATACCTATTGATAAAAAAAGAAAAGCATGTTATAATCAAAAATGGTCAATGTCAATGCGAAACACACACCTTCCTACATAAGAAAATTGGTTACATTTATCATGCTTTCATTTTCTTGATATTCACCTCTGGAGCATAAGTTGGTGGTCACCAGGACTTTCTCCTTGCCCTCCCTGAAGCGTTCAATGATGGCCGCTCTCTGCTCAACAGTCATCTCCCCACTCAGCAGTGCCACCACATGGCCTTCTTTGGTCAGCTCAGCAGACAGCCAGCCAGCTGTCCTTCGGGTCTACAAAGGCAAAGACCATAGATTATTTGTTACTTTATGTACCATACAAACGCCTTCTTTATTTCTTCACTTTATTAGGCTAGTTTATGTACCATATCAACCCAAATCCCCCAGATATTTATTTAATTCCTATGATACGTTGAGAAGGCGGACAGACTCACGTGACAGAAGATCATGGCCTGGGCGATGGTAATGGCGCCGTAGATATTACAGAGGGCTGTGAACTTCTCCTCCTTATCATTGCAGAGCACGTAATACTGCTTGATGGTGTCCAGAGTCTCCTCTTCACGTTTCAGCTTGATGATGTTGGGGTCTGGCACGACCCTCTCTGCAAACTTCCAGACTGAGTCCTCAAACGTGGCCGAGAACAGCAGCATCTGACATTCATTTGGCAACATTCTGCGTGGGGTGGGGGAGGGAAAAGTCAGTTTCTCCAGCTGGATAATGAATAGATGCATAGTATTAGCCGTCATCATTTAGTTAGCTAAGAACACAGTTTATTAGCATCAGAAAAAGACATCACAACAGGAAAAGTCCTCAAGATACCTTAGCTTCTTCAACTGGTTAACTAATAGCCTATTGAGTCTAATAGTATCTGAAAACCATCAGTGGTCATTAAAGAGATTCTCTGGTGCTTTTGTATACTTTTCAGACAGTCCTTCTGAAAGTAGTGCTCGAGGTAAAAGTGGTTCCCGAAAATTGCTTACTAGGTCACACCTATGCAGATACAGTATGTGCACCACGTCATTGCTCTCCCTCTCTCTGAAGTGTGTGCATCTTCCTAGCTGTCACTCAAATGGCGAGGGGCTGAAGCTCTTTGGTTGAACTTGAATTGCTAGGGGGCTGGCCCACGTGGGGGAAAATGTAGGAAACATTTTGAAAAACAGTCGCTTTCAAACTAGGGAATTCGCGGCTAATTGAGGTAAGACAGTAATTCTGCTTATAGATTAAGTATGTATGAACTACACATTGACACATCCAGCCAAAGCAGGACGTTTAAAAAAATACTTAGTAGTCGCCAAAGTTCCAGAGCATGTCTTTAAGAGCCCTTTTACAAGTGTTTGTAAACAAAGATGTTAAGTCCCCTATATGGGGGACTGAGTGGTTCTGGACTGGTTCCGACTGACATTTTGGTTTACAAAACTTTCTGTGAATGTCATAGGGTCCCGTGCCTTATAGTGCCAGAAAGCCCCATTGGTCTGCTCTCTGTGGAGCTGACTTGAAGTGTCAGGTTTCAGACTCCACATTTATAGGGAGTGACATGTCACCTTTTCTGGCCTATCCAGGCAAAGGAACAATTTCCTGTGCCTGTGAAACTCACAGCTGCGCTTGCAATAGCGCATATGAAGTGGAAGACTAGCGGATGCAATAGAACTTCTATCTCGCTGTGATATTCTCAGCTGGATTGAGCTCTCAACATGAAAAAAATACAAAATCATGTCATAGAATTTAAACAAGACCACTTTCTTTAGGTCAAAGACAAGCTGAAATTATAACGAGTCTGCACAAATTTGAATGGTGTCTGCACCGCTCAGTGGATGTTCAGAATTCAGTTATGTGAAATAGTGCCAATATTGTATTGTCACTAAGTATGATCATATTTATTTGACAGTTATAAGAAAGATGAAATCTATAGTAAGTCGTTTACAATGTACTTTATTTAGAAAATATTTGTAATTTCAAGCCCTATTGCTCCACTTTTGTTGAATAGAAAAAAATCTAAATTTTTCATATTTTCCTAATATTTGTACTATGTACTTGAGGTTGTCCTCAAAAGTGAGTACACCTCAACAATTTGTAACTATTTTTACCAAAAAGGTAAGTTCCCGAACTTTCTAAAACTATGCAACATTACCAGTTATTGTTTATGGACATCTCATGAAAGAATTACATTTGCATATGTCTATTTAGGCAGAAATAAAAATGTGCCCTATCATTCATGAGGTTAATAGCAACACTCATGTAATTACTGGCCTGCAAGACGAGCGTGTCTTGTAGAACTTAGGTTCTGCTAGATGAGAGTACTGTACATTTACAACTTGTTATGAGAAAACTCACCTTTGGATCCGGATGCTCTGGTCCTGGTGACCTTGTGTGGCGATCATGACGTCAGCCTCGTCCAGGACGAAGATGCTGATCTTCTTGGGGTCGATGATCTTCAGTTTGGAGCACCAGTCTAGGACCGTGCCAGGTGTCCCGATGACAATCTGCTCCTGAAGCTTCATCCCTCGATCCACTGCTCAGCACCAAGAGACATACATGACAGTTAATGATGTTGTTACAATTATGATTCTCAACAGCATCTTTTACAGAACATCCATTCTATAATACAACTTGTTAGGATGTGGCATTCGCTTCATTGAAAGTTATGCTTCCGACGTGACATTTGGGTGAGAGCACCGGCATTGATTACAATGTCCCCAGTGACATTAGGCACCATAACCTAACAGATTGTATTCAGAATAAAAAAGCATGAATGTTTTGACACTTACATTTATTGCCACGAATGGCATATGCCAATTTGACCTCAGGATAGAATTTCCCCATCTGTTCAATGACTTTACCAGTCTGCAAAGCTAGCTCGTACGTTGGGGCAATGCAAAGACACTGAGGGGGCAAAATGAGTTTCAGTAATATGAGGCTTCAATCTATAAAATCAACAAACTAAAAAAGCAACACACCATGATAGAAGTTCTCTAAACTAAGACACTTTCCTTTTACCTGCTACCCTTATTGGCAGGCGCTCTTAATAAAAACAAACAAACCCATAAAAATCCACCTAAAGAGCAAACTCTTTCTGAACTTGCTGATTACCTGACCTCTGAGTACCTGTATCAGATGTCTAGCTTCTTAAAGCTAAGTTCATGACCATAGCCTGAGTAATCCTAATGGCTCCCAGTATATATCAGTGCTGAAGATGGCGATGTCAACTCACCTGAGTCCATTTGTTAGCTGGGTCAACATGGCTGAGCATGGCCAGCGCAAAGGCAGCTGTTTTACCTGTGCCGGACTGTGATTGGGCAATCAGGTTCTGAGGTCTGGAACCAGAGGGATAATACATGCTGAAGAGAGAACAATGGGGGACTAAAAGGTAGATCATGTAGATTCCATTAATTTCACATCAAAATCCAATCAAACAACTATATTACTGCATACATAAACGTGATAATGGTTAATAACTAGTTTGACTACATCTGACTGAAGGTTAAAATTAAATGTGCAATATCAGAACACACAACACAACCCCTTCACATGTGCAGAATATCTAGGCTATTTCCTCTATTATTGAGCTTCATCACAAGGAGCATTGAGCTAAATGAAATGGGTACTCACGGCTCTGCCAGCATCATGGGCAGGGCATTCTCCTGGATCTTAGAGGGTCTGTTAAAACCCATGTCATACACTCCTCTTAGCAGCTCATCTTTCCTGAGATGGAAGTACATTTAAAAGACCACATGTAAAAAAAAGGCTAACCAAACATGTTGAACATACACCACACACGATACCGCAAAAAAGCAATGTTGTGGATCCTAACTCAGGTTAAAATACACTGTATAATTTGGTTTCATGTGAGGTAGGCCTGTACACATTTGTAAATTAGTAAGCAATGGTGAATTTGAACACCAAGATGACGTACAGTCTCAGCTCTTCAAATGTCTTGACAGAGTAAAGAGGAGAGTTGGGATCCCTTTGAAGAACCTCTACTTGATTGGTAGTGTTCACAAGGCTGGTGTGGATCATCTTATTTAACAACGACTGGGCCGCTTTGTCCTCTACAAGACAAGAGTGACAGGTGAATGACCTGTTGTAGTAACTGAATGGAGACATGATGGGGAGGGGGGGGTTAAAATAAACCCTGAGAATTCACACACCTTTTTCTTCCACTTCCACATTTGTGCCATTCTCCACTTGTTTTGTGGTACCTGGGGGAACAACAGAAACTCATCACCCCATTTTATCACAAAAAGGTAATGGACAATAATACATGGAAGAATATCACGTGCAAATGTTCATGATTGACACCACAGTGATTTTACCTTTTGCCTTTCTAGTTGCAGCATCACCTACACCTCGAGGTGGGGATCTGATCACCAAGGAGCCGAACTGGTAAGAGAAAGAAACATGTTGTTAGTAAGCAAATATCTAGCTGGTCTCAGAATGCAAGTTTTCCCTCAACAAATCTTGGCAAGCACGTGTCTGCACTGAAGTGTCAAATTATGCCAACAACTTCAAAGGCATAACAAACACCGCTAGTCATTCAAAAGGTGTGTCAGTTAACAGTGGCACACCATCAGCACACGTTATGCTAGCTAACCTCTGGTTTGACAGCTCAGCCACATTGCCTCAGCTACAGTTGGCTGCGCTAGCAAGCTTGCTAGGTAGCAGCATAAAGTCTGTACCTTTTCGTCATGCATGGCTGAGAATGTAGCTAGCTAACGAGCTAGCTAGCTAAACTTGCTATACATTTAAACTTACAGAGTCAGTCGTAGCTTCCTGTTTATCGACAGCCAGAGCCCAGGAGTCAGTAGCCATTATTCACGTTTAATGTATATTATTTTAGACCAAGTTTCAGAAGTTTTAGCTACACAAACTGTGAAATCAAGCTGTGCGTCGAAAGGGATGCTGCTGCCTGCTAAGCCAAAGAAGCTGCCGCTGTTGCGCACCTAGCTGCACTCTTTCGGATGGGAACTCAGAATTCCACTTCCGAGTTCCCATCGGAAAGAGTGCATCAACTTTGTTTTACCCCAAATTAGTTTGTGTAGGCCTTCGTGAAAATGTGCAATACCACAGGCTATATAGGAATAATACAATCTGTTATCAGATAAACAGGATTGGCTATTTTTCACGTGTCAGTTTAATCTATTATTTATTAATCGTCAATTTATTACAGCTATAATTTCTAGCTAATTTGATATGGCTTTTTCTTTTTGATTTGTCATCTGGTCCCAGAAATACTGAGGAGGATTAGAGATTATGGCGGTCCTGATGAGTGACCCAGCCAGGTAGAGACCTGTCAGTCCACTTTACTCTTGGATCATGTCCTCTCTGTTCTCTCTCCTCCGCCTCTCTCCTCATAATTTCTCTCTCTCCCCCCCCCCCCCCCCCTCTCTCTCTCTCTCTCTCTCTCTCTCTCTCTCTCTCTCTCACTCACAAACACACACAACACACACACCACACAGATAAAGAGAGAGGGGGGAGATTACTTAATGGCCAGCATTATGTTCATTTAATTGTGGAGCGGATGCAGCTTCAGCCAATACCCCCCACCCACACCACCCCCTCCCTCACGTATGTCTTTTAAGACACCAGTAGAGGTCTACATCGATTGTCATGGTTACATCCTCAGTGGGGGGAAAATAACAGGTGGATCAGACTAACAGTGGCCACAATGCAGATAGCCAAAATCCCACTACCCACATTAGAATCTAAACATTATAGGCTTTGCATTAAAGCAGAGACAGAGCACTGGACTGGTGAGGGGGAAGGTTGATGCCTGGATGGAGGCGAGACGTGCTTTAGGTTCTCCTCTCTCACCCTTTCTTGTTCTCCACGCCTGGCGTTGCATTTCATTTAGTCTGATCCCCCAGCTATCAAAAAGGATGCATCAATGGGGTCATTGATTGCAGAGTAGAAGGAGAGTGGGTGGTGCTGATGCTATGAATGCAGAGGGGAGGGGTAGTAGGGAAAGGGAGAATGCTAATCTGTTGCACAGGTCTCTCTCTCTCTCTCTCTCTCTCTCTCTCTCTCTCTCTCTCTCTCTGTCCGTCCGTCCGTCCGTCAGTGAAAACCTCTAACTCCAGCCACAGGGAGGGAGGAGAGAGACTGAGCTGAGAGATACTTTGTATAACCACATGTTGCTGTGCTGACTGAATTGCTGCAACGGTTGCTGCCTAGTGTCCACTGTCCTTCTCTTTTTTTGTTTGTTTAGTCCCTCTGTGAAAAGCCAGAGACATTTAATTAATAGTTTCTCTCCCCACCTCTGATAGCTGGCATTTGCCACATACTGTAGAGGAAAGAAAAAGGAAGGAGAAAAGAAATCGAGGAGAAAAGGACATATTTCCTGAAAAGTGGGTATCCAAAAGACAGAGATCATCATCCCACCCCCAGTTGACACAAATGAAAGGTAAGGCTTCAGTATTTCAGTAGTTGTTGCTGAATATTGTGCATGTATATTGTATATTGGCATTGATATTTTAGCAATTCTATCAGGCAGCAATTAAATCCAGCAATAGCAATACAAACCATTCTGTATTATCAACAGGTGGTTGTTTCTGACCTGTTTCCTTGGAAAGCTGTTGTTATTGTGATGTTATTATGACTGTACTGTATGAATGGTGGCTACAGGTATATGGATGATATTAGGCTATGTTTGGATGAGCCTTTCTGAAGTGCTCAAGATTATTCATACGACAAGGAGAGGGGTCTCATGGGGTCTGTCACTTGGACACACTCATTATCACAGCCTGTCAGACTGAAAAAAGAAACTCCCATTAAGAGAGAAACACTAATGGATTGCCTTTAGGATTTTGCCATTACTGAAAAGGGCATAATATCAATCAACTTAATTATGATTGGATTTTCCCCCTACATTTTTGTTCCTGTTCTAATTTTTTTGATATATTATTTCCACCCTGATTGCTAAGCATGGCTATTTATACAAGTGGATTTAGGTTATTAATCATGTTTGCATTGTAACTGTCAATCAATATGAGGCTAAATAATCTGATTTCACAATGCATTTCTGTGTTGTCACAGCAAAAACAGTTTACAGTCCAGTTATGCTGTTCAATTTGTTTTTGGAATAAGGGAAGGATAATGGCATTTTGCATCTTAGAGGAACAAGACACTGCATCTGCATCTTATTCCCATCTTGTGTCCCTTAGGACACATGGTGGCACTGTTGACACTGATTGAAGAGCAGAGCAGGTGTGCGCAGTGAGCACTGTGGGTGTATCTGTCTGGCCTTTTCCTTTTCACTAAATGACAATGCTGTGCCGGGCCAGCCAAAACCTCCTTTTGATTAATAAGTGTGAAAATACAAATAAAAAATAAAAAATGAATTATGGATCCTGTAAATTGTGGCTGCATTATGACAGCAGACAGTGGTCTGGTTTGTTAAATGTTGTCGTCTTGTCCAGGCAGGGAGTCAGGAAGACCAACGATCTTGAGATCCATCATGTAGATAATTCACAAAAATACTATTTCGCTGAAGGAGCAGTTTAGAGTTTTTCACTCTGTAGAAGTATTGTACTGTATGTAGTCTTACAGCCACTAATACTGGCATATTAGTTTGGAGAAACACTGGCCAGGATGATTAGCAGGCAGGCAACGGTCTCTATGGAAATTTGCTTTCCTCACAATACCACTCATAAAGGCTGTGTTAGAGGCTCAGGCTATGTCTTTCTGGACACGACAGAAACCCAGGACACCACAACATAATAAAGTCTGGGTTGCCATATACAGTGCCTTCGGAAAGTATTCAGACCCCTTTACTTTTTCCACATTTTGTTACGTTACAGCCTTATTCTAAAATTGATTAAATTTTTATTTTTCTCAGCAATCTACACACAATACCCCATAATGACAAAGCGAAAACAGGTTTTTAGATTTTTTTGCAAATTTCTTACAAATAAAAAACAAGTATTCAGACCCTTTGCAATGAGATCGAAATTGAGCTCGGGTGCATCCTGTTTCCATTGATCATCCTTGAGATGTTTCTACAACTTGATTGGACTCCACCTGTGGTAAATTAAATTGATTGGACATAATTTGGAAAGGCACACACCTGTCTATATAAGGTCCCACAGTTGACAGTGCATGTCAGAGTAAAGGAATTGTCAGTAGAGCTCCGAGACAGGATTGTGTTGAGGCACAGATCGGGGAAGGGTACCAAAACATTTCTGCAGCATTGAAGGTTCCCAATAACACAGTGGCCTCCATCCTTCTTAAATGGAAGATGTTTGGAACCACCAAGACTCTTCCTAGAGCTGGCCGCCTGGCCAAACTGAGCAATCGGGGGAGAAGGGCCTTCGTCAGGGAGGTGACCAAGAACCCGATGGTCACTCTGATAGAGCTCTAGAGTTCCTCTGTGGAGATGGGAGAACCTTCCAGAAGGACAACCATCTCTGCAGCACTCCACCAATCAGGCCTTTATGGTAGAGTGGCCGGACGGAAGCCACTCCTCAGTAAAAGGCACATGACAGCCCGCTTGGAGTTTACCTAAAGACTCTCATACCATGAGAAACAAAATTCTCTGGTCTGATGAAACCAAGATTGAACTCATTGGCCTGAATGCCAAGCGTCACGTCTGGAGGAAACCTGGCACCATCCCTACGGCGAAGCATGGTGGTGGAAGCATCATGCTGTGGGGATGTTTTTCAGCGGCAGGGACTGGGAGACAAGTCAGGATCGAGGCAAAGATGAACGGAGCAAAGTACAGAGAGATTCTTGATGAAAACCTGCTCCAGAGCGCTCAGGACCTCAGACTGGCGCAAAGGTTCACCTTCCAACAGGACAACGACCATAAGGACACAGCCAAGACAACGCAGGAGTGGCTTCCCAGACTTGAACCCGATTTAACACCTCTGGAGAGACCTGACAATAGCTGTGCAGCAACGCTCCCCATCCAACCTGATAGAACTTGAGAGGATCTGCAGAGAGGAATGGGAGAAACTCCCCAAATACAGGTGTGCCAAGTGTGTAGCGTCATCAAATCAAATCTAATCAAATTTTATTTGCCACGTGCCGAATACAACAGGTGTAGACATTACAGTGAAATGCTTACTTACAAGCCCTTAACCAACAATGCAGTTTCTTAAGTGTTAAGTAAAAAATAGATAAGTAAAACATTTAAAAATAGCAAATAATTAAAGAGCAGTATTAAAATATAATAACAGTAGGGAGGCTATATACAGGGGGTACCGGTAGAGAGGCAATGTGCGGGGGCACCGGTTAGTCAAGGTAATTGAGGTAATATGTACATGTGGGTAGTGTTAAAGTGACTATGCATAAATAATAAACAGAGTAGCAGCAGCGTAAAAGAGGGGTTTGGGATGGGGTGGGGTGGGGTGGGGGGGGGGGGGGGGCAATGCAAATTGTCCGGGTAGCCATGATTCGCTGTTCAGGAGTCTTATGGCTTGGGGGTAGAAGCTGTTAAGAAGCCTTTTGGACCTAGACTTGGCGCTCCGGGACTGCTTGCCGTGCGGTAGCAGAGAGAACAGTCTATGACAAGGGTGGCTGGAGTCTTTGACAATGTTTAGGGCCTTCGTCTGCCATCGCCTGGTATAGAGGTCCTGGATGGCAGGAAGCTTGGCCACAGTGATGTACTGGGCCGTACGCACTATCCTCTGTAGTGCCTTGCGGTCGGTGATGCAACCAGTCAGGATGCTCTCGATGGTGCAGCTGTATAACTTTTTGAGGATCTGAGGACCCATGCCAAATCTTTTCAGTCTCCTGAGGGTGAATAGGCTTTGTCGTGCCCTCTTCACGACTGTCTTGGTGTGTTTAGACCATGATAGTTTGTTGGTGATGTGGACACCAAGGAACTTGAAGCTCTCAACCTGTTCCACTACAGCCCTGTCGATGAGAATGGGGGCGTGCTCAGTCCTCTTTTTTTTCCTGTAGTCCACAATCATCTCCTTTGTCTTGATCACGTTGAGGGAGAGGTTGTTATCCTGGCACCACACGGCCAGGTCTCTGACCTCCTCCCTATAGGCTGTCTCATCGTTGTCAGTGATCAGTCCTACCACTGTTGTGTCGTCGGCAAACTTAATGATGGTGTTGGAGTCGTGCCTGGCCATGCAGTCATGGGTGAACAGGGAGTACATGAGGGGACTGAGCACGCAACCCTGAGGGGCCCCCATGTTGAGGATCAGCGTGGCAGATGTGTTGTTACCTACCCTTACCACCTGGGAGCGGCCCGTCAGGAAGTCCAGGATCCAGTTGCAGAGGGAGGTGTTTAGTCCCAGTGTCCTTAGCTTAGTGATGACCTTTGAGGGCACAATGGTGTTGAACGCTGAGCTATAGTCAATGAATAGCATTCTCACGTAGGTGTTCCTCTTGTCCAGGGCAATGTGGAGTGCAATAGAGATAGCATCATCTGTGGATCTGTTGGGGCGGTATGCAAATTGGAGTGGGTCTAGGGTTTCTGGGATAATGGTATCGATGTGAGCCATGACCAGCCTTTCAAAGCACTTCATGGCTACAGACGTGAGTGCTACGGGTCGGTAGTCATTTAGGCAGGTTATCTTAGTGTCCTTGGGCACAGGGACTATGGTAGTCTGCTTGAAACATGTTGGTATTACAGACTCAGTCAGGGACATGTTGAAAATGTCAGTGAAGACACTTGCCAGTTGGTCAGCGCATGCTTGGAGTACACGTCCTGGTAATCCGTCTGGCCCTGCGGCCTTGTGAATGTTGACTTGCTTAAAAGTCTTACTCACATCGGCTACGGAGAGCGTGATCATATAGTCATCCGGAACAGCTGATGCTCTCATGCATGCTTCAGTGTTGCTTGCCTCGAAGCGAGCATAGAAGTGATTTAGCTCGTCTGGTAGGCTTGTGTCACTGGGCAGCTCTCGGCTGTGCTTCCCTTTGTAGTCTGTAATAGTTTTCAAGCCCTGCCACATCCGACGAGCGTCAGAGCCGGTGTAGTACGATTCAATCTTAGTCCTGTATTAACTCTTTGCCTGTTTGATGGTTCGTCGGAGGGCATAACGGGATTTCTTTTAAGCGTCCGGGTTAGAGTCCCGCTCCTTGAAAGCGGCAGCTCTACCCTTTAGCTTAGTGCGGATGTTGCCTGTAATCCATGGCTTCTGGTTGGGGTATGTACAGTTGAAGTCGGAAGTTTACATACACCTTAGCCAAATACATTTAAACTCAGTTTTTCACAATTCCTGACATTTAATCCTAGTAAAAATTCACTGTCTTAGGTCAGTTAGGATCACCACTTTATTTTAAGAATGTGAAATGTCAGAATAATAGTAGAGAGAATGATTTATTTCAGCTTTTATTTATTTCATAACATTCCCAGTGGGTCAGAAGTACACTCAATTAGTATTTGGTAGCATTGCCTTTAAATTGTTTAACTTGGGTCAAATGTTTCGGGTAGCCTTCCACAAGCTTCCCACAATAAGTAGGGTGAATTTTGGCCCATTCCTCCTGACAGAGCTGGTGTAACTGAGTCAGGTTTGTAGGCCTCCTTGCTCGCACACGCTTTTTCAGTTCTGCCCACACATTTTCTATAGGATTAAGGTCAGGGCTTTGTGATGGCCACTCCAATACCTTGACTTTGTTATCCTTAAGCCATTTTGTCACAACTATGGAAGTATGCTTGGGGTCATTGTCCATTTGGAAGACCCATTTGCAACCAAGCTTTAACTTCCTGACTGATGTCTTGAGATGTTGCTTCAATATATCCACATCATTTCCCTTCCTCATGATGCCATCTATTTTGTGAAGTGCACCAGTCCCTCCTGCAGCAAAGCACCCCCACAGCATGATGCTGCCAACCCCACGCTTCACGGTTGGGATGGTGTTCTTCAGCTTGCAAGTCCCCCTTTTTCCTCCAAACATAACGATGGTCATTATGGCCAAACAGTTCTATTTTTGTTTCATCAGACCAGAGGACATTTCTCCAAAAAGTATGATCTATGTCCCCATGTGCAGTTGCAAACCGTAGTCTGGCTTTTTTATGGCGGTTTTGGAGCAGTGGCTTCTTCCTTGCTGAGCGGCCTTTCAGGTAATGTCGATATAGGACTCGTTTTACTGTGGATATAGATACTTTTCCTCCAGCATCTTCACAAGGTCCTTTGCTGTTGTTCTGGGATTGATTTGCACTTTTCGCACCAAAGTACGTTCATCTCTAGGAGACAGAACGCGTCTCCTTCCTGAGCGGTATGACGGCTGCATGTCCCATGGTGTTTATACTTGCGTACGATTGTTTGTACAGATGAACGTGGTATCTTCAGGCATTTGGAAATAGCTCCCAAGGATGAACCAGACTTGTGGAGGTCTACACAAAAAAAAAATCTGAGGTCTTGGCTCATTTCTTTTGATTTTCCCATGATGTCAAGCAATAGGCACTGATTTTGAAGGTAGGCCTTGAAATACATCCACAGGTATACCTCCAATTGACTCAAATGATGTCAATTAGCCTATCAGAAGCTTCTAAAGCCATGACATCATTTTCTGGAATTGTCCAAGCTGTTTAAAGGCACAGTCAACTTAGTGTATGTAAACTTCTGACCCACTGGAATTGTGATACAGTGAAATAATCTGTCTGTAAACAATTGTTGGAAAAATTACTTGTGTCATGCACAAAGTAGATGTCCTAACCGACTTGCCAAAACTATAGTTTGTTAACAAGAAATTTGTGGAGTGGTTGAAAAACGATTTTTAATGACTCCAACCTAAGTGTATGTAAACTTCCGACTTCAACTGTACGTACGGTCACTGTGGGGATGACGTCATCGATGCACTTATTGATGAAGCCAGTGACTGATGTGGTGTACTCCTCAATGCTATCGGAAGAATCCCAGAACATATTCCAGTCTGTGCTAGCAAAACAGTCCTGTAGCTTAGCATCTGCGTCTTCTGACCACTTCCTTATTAACCGAGTCACTGGTGCTTCCTGCTTTAGTTTTTGCTTATAAGCAGGAATCAGGAGAATAGAGTTATGGTCAGATTTGCCAAATGGAGGGCGAGGGAGAGCTTTGTAAGCGTCTCTGTGTGTGGAGTGAAGGTGGTCTAGAGTTTTTTTCCCCTCTGGTTGCACATTTAACAAGAACACTTGAGGCTGTAATCGCTGCCAAAGGTGCTTCAACAAAGTACTGCGTAAAGGGTGTGAATACAAAAAATAGCTTTGTCATTATGGGGTATTGTGTGTGTAAAACTATTTTATCAATTTTAGAATAACGCTGTAACCTAACAAAATGTGGAAAAAGTCAAGGGGTTGAATACTTTCCCAATGCACTGTAAGATGACATTTGAATAAAAACAGGCCGGCCATAAGCATTGGCCACTTCTCACAGCCCCATCTCATCTCGCACCCTCATTCATGCAATATTCTACCAGACCAGTGCACCTTTGGTGTTGATCATCTGTAATGGGAATTTGAAATGTTGTGTCCTGAATATAACCTTGGACAAATGTGTTATATCGTCGCTTGCTGCCTTTGCCTTGCATGTACAGTAGATCAGAGGCCCCCAAACATACTACATAAAAAAAATCTCTCTCTCTCGCCAATGTTTTCATTTTAATTTTCACCAATCACCTTTGTAGTCTAAGCATGCAAGGACTGAACTGATAGTTTGAATTCCCCTGTGGTTTTACTGTCTGGGCCTGCTCTGCAGGGATGTAACGTTTTTGCTGATCAGACATCTGGACAGCAAAAGAGATGATTCTACTTCAAAGGCACTAAAAAGGCCCTTTCTGTTGTCTTTGATGTTACTATTATTATTTTTTATTTTTTGTTATTGCTGGATAACAATGCAAGGGAGAGGATATCAGAGCTAGACTTATACAGATGTTTGCTTGTTTGTTGAATTGTTGTGTGAGTAATTAAAAGAGATTCTGAACAATATGTTTTTTACCCTCTGTCTATGATTGGTAATGAAAAGAAACTCACCATGCCAGGCCTGATCAACAAGGGGAGTCAGAATGCTCTGCCTCTCAGTGTCTCCGAGATAACTTCCTGTGTCAGAGGTTACACTCTGGCCCTGACAGCATCCATGACCTACAACAACTTCGAGGACAATCCTATTGAGGGTGAGAACCTCATTTGTTATTACAAATATAAAACTAAGTAAGATCATTCCTACAAGTTATCATGAACATTCTCTGGAGGCCTTATACAAGTGTGTTTATGATTCTGAATTTCCTTCCCTTGTCTGTGAGGTAGCCTCCAGAGCTTCCACAGTGCTTCTCAATATCAATAATTACTTGAGCACTGTCCACGGCCTGTATTGACATAATTTAGTTAGTTTTACATAATTGCCTGTTTGTCTCTGGTTAATGTAAACTGTCTTCATTTGATGTAGGTATCTTCATTTACCCGCTGGAAGAATGCTCTACCGTGGTGGGATTTGAAGCTATGATCTCCAACCAGATAATAACTGTGCAAATCAAAGACAAGTCCAAGATTGATGATTGTTACTTTGATTGCTGCACTACAGCTAATGGCGCCCTTCAGAGTGGCAGTGGTAAGGATGGGTCTCGTGTCAAGTACTGTGGTCAGTGGTGACAATAGGAGATGTTAAGACAACACAAACAGAGACCAGGCTAGTGGTTTTGGGTCCAACTATCTCGATTCCTAGTCCAATCAATAAGGATAATATTGCTCTGAAAAATACAAAACATGACCATTTATGTGAGTTGTTCTGCTATGATATTCCAGGACATATCGTGCTGGACGAGGACTTGGAGAGGACAGTGTTGGTGGTTAACCTGGGGGTCATCCCCCCTCTGGAGACAGTCAACGTGTTGGTCAGCACCTCCTCTGAGCTGCCCACCCTGCCCAACGGGGGCATCCGGGTCACCTCACCCACTGTGTGCACCCCCAGGGTCCAGAGGACCATCAACGAGGAGCAGGGACTCTCCCCAAACTTCCAGAACAGAACGTAAGAATGCCGTGACAGTGTGTCATCATCATAACCACAACAGAATGTCACCACTGTGTCACTGCTGAATGTCAACGCTGTGTCACTGCTGAATGTCAACGCTGTGTTACTGCTGAATGTCAACGCTGTGTTACGGCTGAATGTCAACGCTGTGTCACTGCTGAATGTCAACGCTGTGTCACTGCTGAATGTCAACGCTGTGTTACGGCTGAATGTCAACGCTGTGTCACTGCTGAATGTCAACGCTGTGTTACTGCTGAATGTCAACGCTGTGTTACGGCTGAATGTCAATGCTGTGTTACTGCTGAATGTCAACGCTGTGTCACTGCTGAATGTCAACGCTGTGTCACTGCTGAATGTCAACGCTGTCTTGTCCAAATCAAAACTCTATAGGGCCATTTTGATCTTTAAAGGCAACTTGAACTCTAATTGGTAACTTGGAAGATAAGTCATTCACAGCATGCCTGCATTAGACATCAGTTATTTCAAATGTTAAAGACAGAGAGATAGCCGATTGGTGGACAAGACTATGAATTCACTGACTGTGATTTTCTATTGTGGTATTTTCTGGCACAGGCGGGACAGCAGGCATAATTGTGCCCTGGATCCACATGAGCAGACTCCTATCACCCCCCAGCTGTACATGGCCCAGCTGCTGGAGGAAGAGGCCATCAACTCCATCGACTATGAGTTTAGCTTCCAGCTGGAGATCAGAGCCCCCTATCTCCTTGCAGGTCAGAGACACAACATACAAGCATCTACACGTTGCAGTTTATTTGTATTATAAATACAATTTATATCCCACTGACCAACAGGGATTTGCATACCGATATAGACATCCTTCCACTATGAGTACAAAGCTACCTCCACACACACAAGCAAGATTCATTTGAGTTTTTTTGTGATATCTTGCTCTTGTATTTTCATGTGATTCTACCGTTTATTCTACACTGTAGATGCTTTAGAGGTGTCTTTTTGTGCAGGTGTGGAGAGCCCCTCTCATGCCATCCGGGCCGACGCAGACCCCCTGGCCCGCTCAGCCACCAGCGTCGTCATCACACTGGCTGACAAGTACACCTACGACTGCCCTGTGGAGATCCTCATCTACCCCAGTGGTGGGTACAGTACTGTTGTAGACACACCACCCACCATTCAGCCTGCCAGGCACTACCATTACTCACGCCTATTCAAAATACAATATCACATACACAGAATAGACCAGTGTTTACATTTACGTTTTAGTCATTTAGCAGACGCTCTTATCCAGAGCGACTGGATAGCTAGGTGAGACAACAACACATCACAATCGTATCATGTACATTTTCCCTCAACAAAGTATTTATCAGCAAAGTCAATGCTAGTGGGAAAATAATTGACTATCCGCTGCAAACAATTCACCCTGTTATTTATATGTGGACAGTTAATCAGATCACACGGGAGTTTAATCATCAGCCTATCTATCTCTCTCTGCATATCTCAGGCTCCCCCGCTCTCTCTCTCTCTCTCTCTCTCTCTCTCTATATATATATATATATATATACATACACCACCGTTCAAAGGTTTGGGGTCACTTAGAAATGTCCTTGTTTTTGAAAGAAAATGAATATTTTTGTCCATTAAAATAACATCAAATTGAAATACAGTGTAGACATTGTTAATGTTGTAAATGGCTATTGTAGCTGGAAACGGCTGATTTTTTAAAATGGAATATCTACATAGGTGTACAGAGTCCCATTATCAGCAACTATCAGGCCTGTGTTCCAATGGCACGTTGTGTTTGCTAATCCAAGTTTATCATTTTAAAAGGCTAATTGATCATTAGAAAACCCTTTTGCAATTATGTTAACACAGCTGAAAACTGTTGTGCTGATTAAAAAAGCAATACAACTGGCCTTCTTGAGATTAGTTGAGTATCTGGAGCATCAGCAATTGTGGGTTCGATTACAGGCTCAAAATGGCCAGAAACAAATAACTTTCTTCTGAAACTCGTCAGTCTATTCTTGTTCTGAGAAATGAAGGCTATTCCATGCGAGAAATTGAAACTGTCTCTAAGCAGAATAGAAAGAGGAGTGGGAGGCCCCGGTGAAAATGTTTTTTTTCAATTTACAATCTGTAGAAACAATGAGAATAGAAAGGTTCAGAACGTTTGTAAAACATCACAGTAGAGTTGAAAAATATATGGCAAATAGAAATCCTATATGGATGGTGTTAAGAGATAGATGGGTGGTGTTGAATGGAGTTGAAGGATGGGACTAATAACAACTAACAACAACTAATAACAAGATAACTAATAATGTAAGCATACTGTGTCCATAATAAGTATATAGGTTGTAGGTTGGGAGCTTTTGTGAAAGAGCACAGTTAGAAAGATATGGCATATAGAAGCAAACCGGATGGACATCATGAAAATGATTGGAGAGGTTGAGAGCAGAAGAAGTTCAGGAGAAAAAACAAACAAAATATAATTATTGTAAAATTGACTGTGTCCATAAAATGTATATAGTAAGTATAAGCTGGAAGTAGAGGCCTAAGCATTGTTGTTCACTAGTTTGCTCCAATTAGGGAAAGGGTGGTGGGGTTGGAAAGTAATGAAGGGGAATATATATTTTTTAAAGGATACAGTGAGGGAAAAAAAGTATTTGATTCCCTGCTGATTTTGTACGTTTGCCCACTGACAAATAAATTATCCGTCTATAATTTTAATGGTAGGTTTTTTTGAACAGTGAGAGACAGAATAACAACAACAAAATCTAGAAAAACGCATGTCAAAAATGTTTTGCATTTTAATGAGGGAAATAAGTATTTGACCCCCTCTCAATTAGAAAGATTTCTGGCTCCCAGGTGTCTTTTATACAGGTAACGAGCTGAGATTAGGAGCACACTCTTAAAGGGAGTGTTCTTAATCTCAGCTTGTTACCTGTATAAAAGACACCTGTCCACAGAAGCAATCAATCAATCCGATTCCAAACTCTCCACCATGGCCAAGACCAAAGAGCTCTCCAAGGATGTCAGGGACAAGATTGTAGACCTACACAAGGCTGGAATGGGCTACAAGACCATCGCCAAGCAGCTTGGTGAGAAGGTGACAACAGTTGGTGCGATTATTCGCAAATGGAAGAAACACAAAAGAACTGTCAATCTCCCTCGGCCTGGGGCTCCATGCAAGATCTCACCTCATGGAGTTGCAATGATCATGAGAACGGTGAGGAATCAGCCCAGAACTACACGGGAGGATCTTGTCAATGATCTCAAGGCAGCTGGGACAATAGTCACCAAGAAAACAATTGGTAACACACTACGCCGTGAAGGACTGAAATCCTGCAGCGCCCACAAGGTCCCCCTGCTCAAAAAAGCACGTATACAGTGGGGAGAACAAGTATTTGATACACTGCCTATTTTGCAGGTTTTCCTATTTACAAAGCATGTAGAGGTCTGTAATTTTTATCATAGGTACACTTCAACTGTGAGAGACGGAATCTAAAACAAAAATCCAGAAAATCACATTGTATGATTTTTAAGTAATTAATTTGCATTTTATTGCATGACATAAGTATTTGATCACCTACCAACCAGTAAGAATTCCGGCTCTCACAGACCTGTTAGTTTTTCTTTAAGAAGCCCTCCTGTTCTCCACTCATACATTACCTGTATTAACTGCACCTGTTTGAACTCGTTACCTGTATAAAAGACACCTGTCCACACACTCAATCAAACAGATTCCAACCTCTCCACAATGGCCAAGACCAGAGAGCTGTGTAAGGACATCAGGGATAAAATTGTAGACCTGCACAAGGCTGGGATGGGCTACAGGACAATAGGCAAGCAGCTTGGTGAGAAGGCAACAACTGTTGGCGCAATTATTAGAAAATGGAAGAAGTTCAAGATGACGGTCAATCACCCTCAGTCTGGGGCTCCATGCAAGATCTCACCTCGTGGGGCATCAATGATCATGAGGAAGGTGAGGGATCAGCCCAGAACTACACGGCAGGACCTGGTCAATGACCTGAAGAGAGCTGGGACCACAGTCTCAAAGAAAACCATTAGTAACACACTACGCCGTCATGGATTAAAATCCTGCAGCGCACGCAAGGTCCCCCTGCTCAAGCCAGCGCATGTCCAGGCCCGTCTGAAGTTTGCCAATGACCATCTGGATGATCCAGAGGAGGAATGGGAGAAGGTTATGTGGTCTGATGAGACAAAAATAGAGCTTTTTGGTCTAAACTCCACTCGCCGTGTTTGGAGGAAGAAGAAGGATGAGTACAACCCCAAGAACACCATCCCAACCGTGAAGCATGGAGGTGGAAACATCATTCTTTGGGGATGCTTTTCTGCAAAGGGGACAGGACGACTGCACCGTATTGAGGGAAGGATGGATGGGGCCATGTATCGCAAGATCTTGGCCAACAACCTCCTTCCCTCAGTAAGAGCATTGAAGATGGGTCGTGGCTGAGTCTTCCAGCATGACAACGACCCGAAACACACAGCCAGGGCAACTAAGGAGTGGCTCCGTAAGAAGCATCTCAAGGTCCTGGAGTGGCCTAGCCAGTCTCCAGACCTGAACCCAATAGAAAATCTTTGGAGGGAGCTGAAAGTCCGTATTGCCCAGTGACAGCCCCGAAACCTGAAGGATCTGGAGAAGGTCTGTATGGAGGAGTGGGCCAAAATCTCTGCTGCAGTGTGTGCAAACCTGGTCAAGACCTACAGGAAACGTATGATCTCTGTAATTGCAAACAAAGGTTTCTTTACCAAATATTAAGTTCTGCTTTTCTGATGTATCAAATACTTATGTCATGCAATAAAATGCTAATTAATTACTTAAAAATCATACAATGTGATTTTCTGTAAGATTCCGTCTCTCACAGTTGAAGTGTACCTATGATAAAAATTACAGCCCTCTACATGCTTTGTAAGTAGGAAAACCTGCAAAATCGGCAGTGTATGAAATACTTGTTCTCCCCACTGTGTATATATATATATATATATATATATATATATATATATATATATATATATAAACATGGGGGATTGGAAGTGATGCAGACAATTACATTGATGGAAGTTACAATCTATCTGCAATATTAAGCTGATCTACCCCCTAAAAAAAAATTATAAAATAATAAAGGATTAAAAAATATATATATACTAATAATATTTGTTTTTTAAATACAGACGCCTAACAGGTCCTCAACTGGCAGCTTCATTCAATAGTACCCGCAAAACACCAGTCTCTAGGCAGAGTTGCAAAGAAAAAGCCAAATCTCAGACTGGCCAATAAAAAGAAAATATTAAGATGGGCAGTCTGAGATATGGCTTTTTCTTTGCAACTCTGCCTAGAAGGTCAGCATCCTGGAGTCGCCTCTTCACTGTTGACGTTGAGACTGGTGTTTTGCGGGTACTATTTAATGAAGCTGCCAGTTGAGGACCTGTAAGGCGTCTGTTTCTCAAATTAGACACTAATGTATTTGTCCTCTTGCTCAGTTGTGCACCAGGGCCTCCCACTCCTCTTACTATTCTGATTAGAGACAGTTTGCGCTGTTCTGTGAAGGGAGTAGTACACAGCGTTGTACGAGATCTTCAGTTTCTTGGCAATTTCTCGCATGGAATAGCCTTCATTTATCAGAACAAGAATAGACTGACGAGTTACAGAAGAAAGTTCTTTGTTTCTGGCCATTTTGAGCCTGTAATCTAACCTACAATTGCTGATGCTCCAGATACTCAACTAGTCTCAAGAAGGCCAGTTTTATTGCTTCTTTAATCAGCACAACAGTTTTCAGCTGTGCTAACATAATTGCAAAAGGGTTTTCTAATGATCAATTAGCCTTTTAAAATGATAAACTTGGATTAGCAAACACAACGTGCCATTGGAACACAGGACTGATGGTTGCTGATAATGGGCCTCTGTACGCCTATGTAGATATTCCATAAAAATCAGCCGTTTCCAGCTACAATAGCCATTTACAACATTAACAATGTCTACACTGTATTTATGATCAATTTGAGGTTATTTTAATGGACAAAAAAATTGCTTTTCTTTCAAAAACAAGGACATTTCAAAGTGACCCCAATCTTTTGAACGGTAGTGTGTGTGTGTGTGTATATATATATATATATATA